TTATAATTTATGTTATACCCATATTTGATTATAACTTTACTTGTAGAAAAAGAGTTGAAAAGTACTAAATACTTGCTGCTTTCAATGAGGAAATCATTAAAAACAAACAAAAAATGTTTTGTCTTCTTCAAGTAATTTATGTACTAGACTAGAGCTGGTTTCATTAGAGATTGAAAATTGTTTAAACAAGTTTATCTGAAGTGTAAATTGACTTTGTTGTATGTGTATACCTATTGTTGATATAAATATTTTTTTTGACAGACAATTGACATTATAGTTTGTATGTGATAGAAACCTACATCTCTAGTACTATAATATGTTCTTTAGTCAATACATAGAAGAAAGCCTTACAAATCGATACAAACCACATCACAACCACATCACACATTTTTGTTTGACATATTTGGATTATGTGTATTTGTTTCCTTCATTTTTTTTATTTTTTTTTTTTAAATTGACATTTTTTGGGAATAATGTATATAATATATAGAATTGACTTTATGTAATATACATGCCTATTTACATTTTTTGAAAACTGTTTGTCTATATTTTTACAGGCTCAAATCAAATACATTTTCTTATTTTTAGTCCTGACTAAATGCAAGAACTGGTGGATGGATTCTGAAATAGTTTTCCTAGGCCTTATTTAATTTCTTCTAAGGTGAATTTGGAGAATCAAAGACATGTATGATTGCTTTGGTCCTTGCATTAATTCTAGCATGACATGGTATTTTGAATTAGGCTTTGATACTTTGAAAAATTTATTATGTTTATATTAATATGAGTGATACATTTGACACAAAGCTCAGAGCTGACAAATTAGTTTAATGCTAACACAGTATGCCCAGAAAGAAAAAAAAACTAGGATGAAGCCTCATTTACCCAGATGCTCAATGGACCTTTTCTTTTAAATATTATATAATGGTTTAGCCCATGGAGTCTGTATCCCTGGACAACCCTTTCATAGCCAGCTGTGTCCAGATCTGCATTTTTTATATAATTGAATTCATTCCAGTGTGTGCAAGTGGTTGTAACAAACTTGATGAAATTTGATGATAATGTGATAAACTTTTATTTTGACATCAAACTCATTGTTTCAGTTTGTGTTAGTAAAAATTGTTTACATTTGTAAATGTCTCGCAAATTTACCATTGTACAAATAGCATATGAAAGCCAATATCAACCCAAAATGATTTTTAAATCTCCCCATGTTTCTATGACACATCTTTTTTTTTTTCATTCTTTAAAAAGAATAAATGTTTAATTTATATTTCTATGCACTGTTTCATGTTTTGTTCTTGTTTTAGATATAATTCTGGACAAAAAAAATGCACAATTCTCAATATTACACTATAAATAATTTTAGCCTTTTAATTTTCATTATGGGTTAAAAGTTTTGTTGTTTCCCTTTACCCCAGTATGTTTGATTAAACCAACGAGTTTATTTGTCTCTATTTGAAAGACCTCTTCTTCAACTATATAAGCAGGAGTGGAGCTGAATGCATCACTGCAGTTAGGAAAATGGAAACAAAATGTTTACATAGTTGTCAATATTTTCCTTTGGCTTTGACCAGGAGGTTATGCTCCAAACCTTTTAAAAACTCTTTGGCTTTGGCAGTCCTAAAGTGCCAGAAATGTGTACGGATTGAGTTCTTTCTCTTGTATTGTTTACTCTGTTTTAGTGTTGAGTGTGTGTGTTGAAAAGCAAAACTTTGACTTCTTCTATTCCGTCTACTAAAGATAAAGAAATGGGTGACACGTACAAAACTTAAGATAAAGAAATATTCTTGAATTCAAAGGTCTTAAATTGAACCAATTTGTTCAAGGTTGCTTTAAGCCTACTAGATTTGAACCTTGCCTGACAAGACCATTTTTCTATTATAGCTCGACAACCGAGTAATTAGCTATGCTGTTCAGAAAAGCATTACAAATAGTGAAAGTGAACATCCCTAATTGTTTTTCTGGTGGTTAAAATTGAGAAATTTTGTTTGCTCTTGTGCGTTTGTAACGAATGATTTTGAGGCATGAAATCAACCAAACTACTGCTCGTGTAGCCTATTACAAATAAATACCAAAAAGAAACATTAATTATCACTGGAATTCCCTTTCCCCATTTAGTAAGCCCTTTGTTAAAAAAGGCTTTAATCTTAATGCTGAAAATGATTTCATTCGAATAAAATCATTTACGCCGAGATAGCACTCAAATTTCCCACTTAATCTCTGATGTTATTCTAAATGCACTGTAACGGGAAATCCCGACCCTTGAACTCGTCCTGTGTGGGCTACCCTTTGACCTCTCAACACTTCGTCTTGTATAATCAACTAGACGCAAATAACATCACTATACCCCCCCCCCCCCCCTTTTTTTTTCCATCTCCTTTTCTAGGTCTACGTGACAAATGTCCCCCACATTTCTGGACCTGGAGTTGGCGCTCAAGTTCACTGTCCACGTGCTGTCCTCAAAACGTTGTGACCAGTCTTCGTACGTCTTTGTCTTATCTGGTGGCCATCTCGAGTATCGATTTTCTATTTCTGTTTTTAAACGGATCGACAGTCCTCCAGAGTGGCCGTATACTTATTTGCGGCATCGTCTGTCGTCCAAGGTTAAGGAATAGATCTATTGGGGCGCGGCACTAGCTGGGAAGTGGGGATATCAAAAGTGAAATCATTTCTAATAGAATTAATGTCTCGATCGTTTTTGTTAGACACTAGAGCCACAGTGAACTAGATTTTTAGGCTAAACATTTGGTATTTAATCAAAGTGTGCGAGCATTTTTAAAGAAAAATGTGTAACGAAGATGACAGGTAAACTTATAAAGCAGAGATTTATTATTGTTGAAGTGAAGCTCCTCTTTGGTGCACAAAGTTAACCTTTATTTTCTGTGTGCACAACTATGTTCAATCTTCGCCTTAAAAAATTACATTACGCTTCATTTATGATAAGCGAGTAGATTGGGATTGAAAATCCGTATGAAACAGCTCGGTGTTTCATTTATTTCTTTGCATTGCTCTAACTAAACAAGTCTTGATAGCTTACCTGAAACTCCAATACAGTTAACAGAGTCTTGAGGATCAAACTTAAGCTACTTTTTTTTTTTTGTGGCATCATTATTTGAATCTTAGTATAGTTCCATTTAGTATAGTTCCATGGTTTAATTTATATTTGTTTAAGAACAGTCACCAGTAGCCTAATTAATACAAGGGTAAATCACGCGCGTTCGAGGCGTAAAATCCTTCTTTGTCTCAATAATTTTAAAAAAATATAGTGCAGGATTCGCAATGACCAGTTCTATGGTCAATCATTGGAATTTTATAGTCAAGTAGACCTAGATCTCTACATTCATTTCCAATTACATGATTTTTTTTTTGGGGGGGGGGGGGGGGGGAGAGAGAAGCCGGGTAAAAAGCGTTTCATTTTGTTTTAAATATCTAGTTATTGAGATAAACAATAGTCGCTCTATAAGTTGTATAAAGGAGGTATTTGTAGTTCTTCTTGTTAGAATTCCTCTTCTCACCTTTTACATTCTTCATCGGGTCAAAAAAACAACAAAAGTTCGGAAAACTTGGACGGCTCTAACGATTTTCCTAGAAATTCGAAAGTTGATGCCTATCGTTTGGAAAAGAATTACCACCCACCTAATTGGCATCACTTGGAAAACTCTAGATTGACCGTTATAATTTTTAGAAATATTATCCTCTAAAATTAAATTTGGCTTAGGTAACCTTTTTTTAAGTGTGGATACACCTATCATTAGAATTTTATACTATGGTAATAGTACTATAGTAAATTTATACATTAGCTTAGCTATGATTTTTTTCGCTGGGGGGGGGGGGGGGGATAGGAGTGGGTTATAGTGTGATTCTTTTTAAATTTATCATTCATTCGTCATTAGGAGCATAATAATCATTCATATAAGAGTTTGGTGAGCTGTAGAAAGTAGGAATGTCTTTTTTTTTTAATGTCACTTGTTAATTGTATTAAAATGTCTGATCAACAGCGACTTTTTCTTCCAGGGGCCGCAGAGTTCAGGTAGATATTTAGTGAGACTTCAAATGTCTCCTGAAAACGTGAAAGTAAATGAGTTTGTCACAAAATGTAGATGTTAAAAGATCGATAACTCCTTATCACAACTCTGGTCATGATTTTACCCTCCAGAAATAGAGCACTGACATCATTGGAAATTCCGATTTTTTAAGCAGTGCTTTTAAGCTTGTCGCTTAATAGGTTTGAACATTACCATTTCGAACATTTTTTTCTTAAAAAAATAGAACAAATGTTAGCTTGCAAACCTAGAGAAGCAAAAAAAAAAAAAAAAAAATTGTAATAGGTTACTATGTGAATCATTTGTAAAGAAGATATTAGAAATACAAATGGAGAACTAGATGTCTTTTTTCCAATAAGCATTTGGTCAGTTTTCTTTAACCATTCAATTTAACTAGAGCTAGACTAGTTGGCCTATTAACAAGTTGGACCATCACCATCTTTCAAAAAAGCTGAATTGCTGATATCTATCAGTAGGCCTAAATATTAATATACTTTGGGTTGGCTTCCTAATTGTGTGACATGCCTCCTTATCTGAAAAACCTTTTTGGCAGGAGATTACGAACTAAGATTATTCCCTTAGAACAAGTGAAAATAATTGGCAGCGTCTTAAGGTCTCTGTCTCGTTAAAGGAATAGCCAGATCCTGTACCAGTTTTCTCTTTCAAAACCTTGTCAGCATGCAAGACGCAACATTCTATGAAAAGTTGGCTTCCTCGTCCTCTCATGCACTAAAGACTTTTTTCATGAATGTTCTGGGTTCGAATGCTGCCCTCAGCCATACCATACCTGACAGGTTTGAGCTAGAACCTACAGAAATAATCTGCGTTTCTGAAGGAACACCTCCTCGAAACTAACAAGTCAATATTTTTTTATCCTTGATTATTTAGTCTAACATAGAGAGAATTCACATTTCAAAATCCTAGCACTAGTATGCATAAAAAACAAAAGTACACATAATTTAGCTTCATAAATACATGTTTTTACATTATAATTTAGTTTTATTAAAAAAATAAAATAAATGCAGAAATAATTTTAAATAACAGAATCAACAAAAAAATGGAGCATATAATGAAAGATTGTCTTAGACAATAGGGTGAACCCAATTCACTAGCATACTGATAGTACTATGTGTAGCATACAAGTTAGTCAAATCTGTTACACTAAACTGAAGCCAGATTTATAAAATAAATAAAATACTAACAATAAGTGACAATAGGAGATACAAATTTGAAGGGCAGACTTCTGAAATATATTTTTCAAATTCACCTCATGATACACAAAAAATTTAAAAACAATTGATCTTAAGCTTAATTTTTTTTGGTTGGAGGGGGGGGGGGGGGGTATTTGTATTTTAGTACCTGACAATACAATACCAGTAAAAATGTGCTGCCTTTTTTTTTCAGATCTACACAAATGTTCTAGTCTCCAGCCAAGTGAGTGACAGTAAGATTTGTGTTGTCAGTAATGCAACAATGTGTGCTACAGTTTCTGAAATACCTGAAGAATTAGATTCTACAATGTGTGAGTAGTGGGAATGACACAAGTCAATGGGACCAACCACACTCTATCAACAGACCTTTATGTGTATGGGATAGAATTAGGTCAGTTTAATAAATACTTGAACGAAAATGGTAATGTCTACAGTAAATTATCACACATTGCCAGATTCAAACCCTGACATTGCCTTTACTACCAAGCACTTCCCTTGAGATACCACATTGTACAAAATATGTATATCACATATTGAATTTCATTTCTATTTGGAAAAGCTTTATCAATGAAAAATAAAATTCTGCCCATTTTGAAATTCTAAAGTGAAATTGTAATTTTTAACCACAAAATTAAAAGTGAAATAAATATTTTTCTGAGTCATTTGTGTTTTTTTTTCTTAAATGATCTCAGTTATTTTCATATGAGTGTGAACTAGTCTATTAAATATACATTTAAGTAATTGTCATTTATTACATGCTTACAGTAGTTTTTAATAAATATTTTTTTTTTAGAAAAAAGGGCAATAAAAAAAGTGTTACCATAGTTACTTATGAAATATTTAAATAAGATCAGATATGCAATAATCTCTAACAAAAATTAATGCTGACATTTAAAAGATAGCCAAAAAAGTAAGGATATTCTACTGGATAAAGCAATACAAATATTAAAATGCTACATTCATTGTGCACATTATTATAGCTAGAAATGAGCATTTTACAGTACTTCCTGATTACTGATATTCCAGTTGTGCAAGCCATACAAAACCAAATTATTTTGCAAATGAAGAAAAAAAAAAGATTGAATGAATCTATACATACTGTATAGTTGTTGGTGCTAGCTGCATATAATGAACATAATGTTACTAGCCTTCAACAGTCCTTACAGTTAAGTAGACAAACTGACACAAATGGTAGAAACATCATTAAAAATTGGTGTTTAAAACAGCAGAATATGCAAATGAAATATAAGTAATAGGAAACCACTTTGTTGCATACCATGAAAAGCCAAATGTTCACAGATATATGAAATATTTAGCTCTGAAATAAACCTAATTTAATAATCAACACTTGTGAATATTTACTTTGATGCATGCATAATGTAATGGTTATTCTAACACTTCTAGCTCAAGCTAGTTGTAAAATAGAATGGAGAAATGTGTGAAATAATATCTGGCACTATGTCAGATACAAAGTTTGATAATGAAAGAGTTTAAAACAAAAGAGTATGCATACTATGTCAGGGTCATAACCTTTAATCACAATGGCAAAATAAGTTGCCTTTATAAAGCTACCAAAAATGAATAAAAATATGAAGTAATAGAAACAAGCTGAATGTATAAACATTTGAAGTCAAAACAACAAAACATTTGGCTGATGCACAAGGGCAACAGATAATGTCCATAAGATAACAGTTCCAATTTGAATCTAAAATTTAATTCATGCTGATGGAAGGCAGTAAATGAACACAATCATAGAAACATGTTTGACTCAAATTTATCATGTATTGCTGGCAAATCTATACAAGAAATAACCATCTTTCTTAAATTTTTGCAATGTTTGGTTCTGAGTCTTGTACCATCACAACTTTTGATCTAATCCAGTAGCAACATCATATACTGCTAGGGAATCTATATAGGAGATAACTGTTGTAGGTTTCTTTCACAATGTTTAGTTATGAGTCTTGTATCATCACGCCTTTTTTTTTTTCTCTAATCCAGTAGAAGGTAAGTTCGGAAAATACTAATATAATGATAAGAGTTAATGTCTTTACATCAAAGTCCCAATTCTGACATCACATAGAACATTGCAAAGATAATAAATATCAAGGCAAGTATCAACCATACAGGGTGGATGGTAGCTGCAAGTAGAAATTATCATTTTAATTTACTGAAAAGAAAAAAACTTATCTTAAATAAGAACTATAAACCTTATTTAAATATCTTTACAATTAATGATCAGTCTTATTTGAAATCAAAAAGTTTTATTTCATTGTTTAACAATTTTTTTTAAAATTTAAATCCTCTTATAAAATTTATACATTAATATACAGTATGTCAGTATTAAAACTATCTATATAATTCTGGTTAAGCACTAAAACTAGCTACATGACAAAAACTAACATACATCTCTCTGGGCACTGGTGAAGGCGGATGGTATTATCAGCAGATACACTGAGCAGGTTAAAGTCTTGGTTACCAGTGACTGCTCGGGCAGCTTCAGAACATGGTAAGAAGTCAACACTGGTGACAAATATACTATGAGCTTCTTGAACATGATACAGTCTCTGAAATAAAAAAAACATACATATAATCAGCATTATAAAGCTCATTTTATATTTTATTTATTTGTAAGTTATTTCCATAATTTAAAATTTGGTGAAAACCAATTGAACATGATACCAAATGTGAAGAAATATCCATCACTTTAAAGTAATTAATAATGTTGCAGTAGCTGCTGATATTAGTTAAACACAAAACATTGGAGTAAGATCAAATTTTCTGAAAGTGTTACCAATAAAAATCTAATTTTGAAAATTTAGGAATACATTTTCAGATATTTTAAACAGAGATGGTAACAGACTTAGCAAAAATAAAGTAAAACAATAAAAACAACACAGGATATTGAAATTTTACAAAGAGAACTAGAAGAATTGCAGAAAATGGTAATCAAATTGGAGCATGTCTTTCCACCAAGAAAAATGCCAAGCATTAAAAGTTACAAAAAAAGCAAAAACAAATGAATACTACTTAACTTATTCAGGATAAACCAGTAACACAGACTAAAAACTCAAAATATCTAGGTAATTAATGAAGAATTATCATGGAATCCTCATATTGACAAAAATATAAAAAAAATCATATACAGTATTTTTTTTAACCAATCAAACAAGATAAATTTAAAATGCTATTTAACCTTGGTTAGGCCAATATTAGAATATATCTATATGTCAATCTCATTTTCAAAGCCTCAAGAAAAAATGATGTGGCCCTTGTGAGTGGTGTCTTACAAAGGCGAGAATGTGAATAACTACTAATTAATTGTTGTTTTAAATTATGTTCCACTTATATGCATACAAAATACATTTTTTCTCTATTTTGTAAATGTAGTAGTTAGTAAGACAGAACTTACTTAACTTAGCAATACATATGTAAAAAAAAATATATGTTTTTGACAAATAATCTAAATCCGTTTGCATAAATGTGATAAAAAATATGGTTAAAAGCATCTCCCTTACTAAATAGCCTCCAATGTTTGTTACTATTAATAGTGAAAAGTTGTAAAAATAGTGTATTTTTATGAAAAAAGTGCTTGCATAGTTTATTTTAAGCATTTATTTTTTTTTGCTTTCAGTAAAGAAAAAAGAAGCTGTTGCATCAGAACTTTGTAAGGCCTAAAATATAAATATGATGATTTTGGATTTTCAATATCTTTTCTAGTTTATGATATCTAACCATTACGAATGAATAAACAGACAGACCACACAAAGCTAATAGCATCTATTTCCATTTTGGGGGAGGGGGGGGGCGCGCTAAAAATCAGAAATTATTCTAGGTAACAATTGGGGAAAAGAAAATATGGATTTTTTTTTTTGGCCACAAAAAAATGGGTGTGACAAAACAATAAAAGGCAGACATATTGCTTAAGAGTTGGGATAATGACTTTACCTGAAGACTAAATGAGATATACACAGAAACACTCCCAGATATTGAGCCAACACCCAAATAGATCCCATCATTACTGAAAAGAAACAATTATTTGAACAGTTAGTGTTTTCTAAACAAAGTGAAAACAAACAGCAAATAGGTCATGTTTCTTTGGTAGGTCATTCTTGTTAGGACTATTTCACCACAAGGTTAACAAACTTCTTTTGTTTGTTAAGATTTAAAGTACAGCTAGCTCCTTTCAAGACCCAGCAGTACAGAAATCTGTTGTTTCTGTGGATAGCGACTATAATATGAAAAGTACAATGGCCTAAGGTCTTAACTCCACCCCTCACATACCAATGGTAAGGTATTCATGAGAGCAGTTTGAAATAGGAACTTTCAAAATCCTTTATAAAATCCCAGTCATCATCATTATTAAATTGATACCCAAGTTAAGTCAAGCACTAGTAGACAACATCCATTAAATTACAGTAGTCTTCTTAAATTTACATTAATCAAGACCAATTGTTATGGAAGGCCTGAACACTGACCTGCAATTTCCCAACCTGAAGCTTTCGCTACATCATGTCCTGGTGTAAAACCTGTGACATGGCAACGAACTATTGGTCTAAAAAGGTCAGTGTTGAGGCCTTCTATAACGATTAGTCTAGCATTAACTATGCATATTAAAGTTAGTCTATAACTATTAGTACTTTGTGCACAACATCTACCTGACAGCAAATGCAGAGATGACTTCTGTACCAGCACTGGCTGTTTTCTTGAGACTAAATTTACTGCTATCCCACAGTGAGATGTAACAAACAGACTTTGCTGAACGAGTAACAGGAATGTTTACGGTGTAAATATTACACTTGTCACGCTTGCCTTCAATAAGACCATATCTGAGAAAGAAAAAAATCTTAGTTTTGTAATAACTATATATATGACAACAAATTGGACTTTAAATATAATTCAATAAAAACAAATTGATAACAACAAAGACCAACAAATTAACTATTTAAACATTCTGATAAAAGGATTATTCAATTCAAAGTAGGGATTTTTGTATGCCTAAAAGTAGCAACAAAATACATATTCTCTAAGCATCTTTAAAAATTTGTTAACTATAGCTCATTTGTTTTTTTATTAAAAGAAAACAAATATATATCTAAATAGTAATAATTGCCATTTTTCTTTACCTAATT